AAAAAGTCATAAAACTCACTTCCTAAACATAAGCTAAAAAAGACATTGCCAAACAAAGGCTAAGTCAGAACTCGTGTAGATTTTATAGACCCAAACAATATTGTCTAGTCAACAAAAGTGGATTGTAGATATTATTATACACTACTTTCATTTTAAATTGTATTTTTAAAATAATGTATTTTTGTATTAAATTATTTTTACATAAATTAAAAATATTTAATGAAATCTTTTAATTGGTAAAAAAATTAAAATTTTAATATGAGTATGTACTATTTCTATGTTCTTGTTTTCTGTTGGACAAACAATTTAAAATAAAAGAAATATATTTTTATTATAATTTTATTCTACTATAAAATATTACTAAAAAAATTATTCATAACTTCTCAAAATCTCATTCTCCTTGATAAGAATGATATAGTAATGGCTATGTTTGGTTCCATTTTTCTAAAAATAATTTTCAGAAAATTTTACTTTTTTATTTTTCATATTTTTTTGTTTTTACTAAATTTTTTTAATAATTTATGCAAATTTTTTACTTTTTAGACACACCTAACATAAATACACCTAAAAAATAAAAAAAAATTGTAAAAAAATCTTTTAAAAATTCACTAAATACCAAAAATACAAAAGAAAATATAAGAATTCAGTGCATTTTTTGTATTTTTATGAATTTCTTAATTTTTTAAAATATTTTTTCACAATTTTTTACTTTTTAGATATATTTAAGTAAGGTGCATCTAAAAAAATAAAAAAAATATTTAAAATTTTAAAAATATTCACTAAAAACAAAAAAAAAACAAAACTAAAAAACTCAATTTTTAAAAAATTTAATTCAAAAAACTCAAACCAAACACACTTCGGGGATTGAGACCCTATCTCAATCCAAAATCCTTAGCCAAATGTTTGAACTCTAATGAAAATACAACCGAAACATGAAAGGTTAATTCATTTGGTTTCATTGTAATATCTTTATAAATCAAATTTAGGCCTTTTTTTTTTTTAGAGCTATTTTAAAAAAAAAAAAAAAAAAAAAGAAAAAAGTCAATACTTTTGTTTTTTTTTAAATGTGTAAAAGGAAAATGTTTGGTAACTCAAAATTCTGTGGCTCAAATGGCTCAAATCTATCAAAACGACGTCGTTTTACACTTATTTACACTCAAAACGATGTCGTTTTAAGCGATTTGATCCATTTGAACCACAAAATTTTGAGCTACATAGCATTGTTGTATATAAAAAATAAAGAGATGATATGACTTAAATAAGTCAATAAGCCTTAGGTATTGTTTGGCACATTATCTTATTTGGGTTCACAATCATCTCATTTTTCTCTACCATATTACTTTAAATTTAATTTATATTTCACATTTTTTATAAAAAATTTAAAAAATATACTAATTCAACCCATATAAAACACCCTCTTAATCTCTCTCTCATTCTTCTCCTCTTAGTTGATTTCTCTCTCTCTCATTTTTTATTTCTTTTTTTGTTCTCTCTGATTTCAAAGGTTTTAAGGTTAGAGGTTCGGACGCAAGGGCACCAGATCGGGAGTGATCGGTGTAGGGTCCAAAAAAATAGAAATATAATTACGCTTATAATAGGTGTTTAAAATAAATAAAAGATAAGAACTAATTTTGATGGTTAAAATCTAAAGATATACAATGAAAGCAAATAATACCTGTTATGGAAAAATTTAGAAATGTAGTGAGATTGCAGAAGATAAGGATATTAAGATAATTTATCTCGAGATGATAGCATACTAAAAAGAAATATATAATAGAAACGGATAAAGGTTGATGTAATTAAAGATAAACATAAAAAATGAGATATATATAGATATGTGGGTAAATTGCACTTACCTCTCCCGAGTTTGTCTTAATTACAGATACTTCTCCCCTGATTTCAAAAATTACACAAACCTCTCTTGTTATTGAAAATAATAGTCAAATTTTCCTTTCCCGTTAAAAGAGCCTTAACGATGTTAACTTGACAGTGGAATTAACCATAATACTCTTCAACCACATTGTGAAAAGACACAACTGACTTACGTTGTCAATAGCACATCTAGAGGGAAGTAAAACGGCGTCGTTTGGTTTTGTGTTATGCATCTACCTCCTTAGAACCCTGCATCACTACAGTAGATGGTTTAGATCTCCGAATCACTCTGATTGGTATGAACTCGCTCCAAAAAAAAAACAAAAATACACAAAAATGGCGAGTCAATTCATTTTTATCTTCTCAATTTCATCTTCCATTCTCTTCACTACTCTCTCTTCTACCACCACCGACGACCTTGACGAAGACCTTAGCTTTCTCGAATCTGACGCCGACGATGACTCTTCCTCCTCCTCCACTACTTCCGCCTTACCACCATTAGATCCACTCTCTGACGAAGACGATGGTGACTTCTCTGACTTCGAGAACTAAGACCACTTCAAAGTCCCCTCCTCTTTGGACTTCGATCAGGAAGATAAAGCTTACTCATAACAACCTGAGATCGATGACAAGGACGCTGTCGTTTTGAAGGAGAGCTACTTCAGTGACTTCGTAAAGAACAATCGATACGTGATGGTTGAGTTCTACGTACTGTGGTGTGAATACTATCAAGCTCTGGCGCCGGAGTATGCTGTGGCGGCAACGGAGCTGAAGGGCCAGGCAGTGGCGCTCGCGAAGGTGGATGCGACAAGGAAGAGTGAATTAGCGAAGGAGTATGAGATTCAGGGGTTTCCTACTGTCTATTTTGTTTGTTGATGGTCAACATAAACCCTACAATGGCCAAAAGACTAAGTAAAATCCCTCTTTCTCTCTCTCTCTCTCTCTCTCTCTATATATATATATATATATATGAATGAATGAGAGGGGTTTTTTACCTTAAGGGTCAGTTGTGTATTTTCACAATGTAGTTGAAGGGTATTATAGGCAATTCCATTATCAAGTTAACGTCGTTAAGGCTCTTTTAACGAGAAAGGAGAATCTGATTATTATTTTTGATGGAGTATGAGTTTGCATCTGGGCAAAAAATTAATCTTGATAAATCAGCCATCTATTTCAGTGCTAATGTGGATGCTGGGAGTAAGGAGGCTTTGCGACATCTTCTAAATGTAGGTAGAATGGTTGACTCTGGCAAATACTTGGGTTTACCATACTTTCTTGGTAGGTCCAAGAAAGTGGTGTTCAATTTTATCAAGGACGGAGTTTGGAAATGGATTAGTGGATGGAAGGAAAAATATCTTTCGGTGGCAGGACGAGAGGTTCTGATAAAAGTTGTGACTCAAGCCATTCCTACTTATGTTATGTCATGTTTCCAACTCCCAGAAACATTCTGTGCTGAGATTGACTTCATTGTGTGTCGATATTTGTGGGGACAAAGTGGCGATAAGCGAAAAATTCATTGGACCTCATGGGAAGCTTTGTGTCGCCCAAAATGGGAGGGAGGAATGGGTTTCCGCCGGTTGGGGATTTTAACAGTGCTTTGTTGGCCAAACAGGGATGGTGCCTCCTTCAGTCCCATGACTCGTTATTTGCTCGGTTGATGCGAGCCAAGTATTATCCGATCTCGACGTTTTTTGAGGCAGAGTTGGGGTGCAATCCCTCTTTCACATGGCGGAGTATTTTTAATTCTCGACCCTTGTTGATGGTCGGTTTACGGTGGAGAATTGGGGACGGGCACATTGTTAAAATTTGGGGTGATAGGTGGTTGCCTCGGGGTCATTCTTTTCTTCCCATTTCTCCTCATTCTCTTCATCATGATACTACGGTAAGTTTTTTGTTAGATTCAGACTGTAAGTGTTGGGACTTGGGAAAGCTACAGACCCATTTACTTGATGTTGATGTGGAAGTGATTCAAAAAATTCCTATTAGCCCTTGCCTGCCTTCTGATACATTGATTTGGCATTATACCCATGATGGGAGGTTTTCGGTTCGGTCGGCTTATCATTTACAAATGACTCTGTCCAGAATTGGACCATATTCGGAATCATCCAATAGAAGGGAAGCCAAACGGCGGTTTTGGAAAGGGGTTTGGCACTTACAAATTTCGAACAAGATTAAGGGCTTTGCATGGAAGGCATGCTTGAATATTATCCCAACCCAGGACCGGTTATGGCAACGCCGAGTGCTTGTTGAACTTGGATGTGATGTGACTGTTGTGACGAAGCTGTGGAGACTTTAGTGCACTGTGTTAAGGAATGTGACGTGGCGCAACAAGTATGGGCTGCTAGTCCTTTGGCTTTCGTTACAGGTATTGGGGTGGGGTATGATTTTTATCATTGGGTAGTTGAGATTGAGAAACAAGTTGATGAGGCAGGCTTGGGGTTGTTCTTTGTACTATGTTGGGCCTTGTGGTCTGCTCGAAACCAAGCTATATTTAATAATGTTAAGCGGGTTGCGACGGTGATTGTACAGAGAGTGTGTGCTTATTTACAAGACTTCTGTCAAGTTAGAGCCCAAGTTCGAGGATTGAGGGTCTATCCTAGTCCGTCAAGATGGAGGTCACCTCTAGTGGGTGTGTTCAAGATTAATTTCGATACGGCGACTTTTGGTGCTTTGGAGGCCATTGGGGTGGGTGTGATTGTTCGAGAGGCACATGGTAAAGTTCTTGCAGCCATGTTGAAACGACTTCTACATTGGGTTAATGCGGATTGTGCTGAAGCTTTAGCAGCGGCAAGTGCGATTGCGTTTGGAGCAGAACTGAGTCTGCGTCATATTCACTTAGAGAGGGACTCTTTATCCATTATTAAAGCTTTCCACTGTGAGGATCAAGTGCTCTCCTCGTTTGGCCATATTTTCCAAGGTGCTCTGTATACAAGCCGCTGCTTCACCAGTTTTTGTTGCTCGTATGTGTTGTTGCGCAATGGAAATAAGGTTGTTCATGGACTAGCTCGTATAGCGGGTCATGTGACCGGTAAGAGAATTTGGAAGAATGAGGTGCCAGCTGAATTATGCAGGATTATTCGGGCTGAGTCTGTTTAGCTTTTATTTGTAATGACCTTTCTAAAAAAAAATAAAAAATAAAAATAAAAATCTCAAAGAGGTAAGTGTAATTTATCCTAGATGTTTAATTTATAATTTTTTTTTTAAAAAAAAAAGTGCAGCTATACGCGGCCAATGCTTACCTTTTTGGAGTCAAAACTTTGATTGAAATCAGCCAGCGCCACCCAAGTGTTCGTTATTTCCTCGCCTTCCGCACCTCTCTCTCTCTCTCTCTCTCCTAGAATCAATCCGACCATCCTCAATCTTTCCTTTCCCAACTCTTCCCCCAAACCTTCCCCCAAACCTCCCACTTTCTCTCTCCCTCAACCCCTCCATTTTCTTTTCCATTTTTTCTCTCCCACCACCACCTCCATCATCATCAACATGAACTACTTTCTGGGTTTCGATTTTGAATGACCCAAATCAACACACAACCCACAAAAATGGTGATTCGGAGTAAGTTGAGGTTGGTGTTGGGTTTGGTATGAGGAGGGATCGAATCTTTGTCATATGGCATTTGGGTTTTCTGTCATGACTCGTTTCGCCTCTAATTCATCACCATCCTCTTCTTCTTCTTCTTCATCATCGTCATCGTCATCGTCATCAGCATCGAGCTCTTTGGATCTCGATGTTGCTCCTTCCAAATGTCGGTCCCAATTTCGATCGACATTCGACCCTTATTCCATTGCTTCCGAGACCATTGTCTCCGATCACCCCTGTTGTATTCAGTTCGGAGTCCTTTGATTAGGCTTTGGACCCAGATCTTCTCTCTCTTCTTCTTCCTCTTCTTCTTCTTCTTCTCTTTCTTCTTCTTGGTAGCTCTTCGGTTACTCGCCGGAATGATGAATTCCGGTACTGGGTTGTTGGGTTTGTCTCATTCTGGCTCTGGTTCTGCAGAGCCTCCTTCTACTCCTAAATCTGATGGTGCTGACTATGTAGAGAAAGATCCCCGGGGTCGATACGTTCGGGTAATCTTCACCTTTTTGTCAATTCTTGAATTAGCATTGTATTGTTTTGTTCTTGTTATTTGAATTTGGTATCATTTCTAATTTTTTTTTTTATTATTCAAGTATATGTTTCGGGTTATCTACTGCATTGTCTTGTTCTTGTTAATTGAATTTGAATTTGGTATAATTTATAATTTTGTGATTGAAGTATGTGTTTTTCTGTGATGGGTTGTGTTTGTATTGAAGTTGCAGCCTCGTGTTCAAGCTCTTGCACATGTTGTTATGGTTAATGTTTTTCCATTGTCCTGTATTAATGTATTTCATGGTTGCCGTTATTCCTTTCTTTGTCAAATGTGAGTGATTATTGTTTCCCCTTTCTCGTAAGTGTTGATGTGTTGGTTCATTGTCTTCTGTTGGGTAATTGAGAAACTAGAGGACCTCCAGGAAAAGGTTTAATTTTTCAATTAAGAAAATGTTTAACTCTTTTATTTGATTTTTTGGCCAGCGTTATTTTAGTTGGTTTTTTTGGCTTTATATGAAAAGATGTAGAGAAAGTAGAGGGAGTGATGTGATAACTCATAGTGGATTTTCGGCTAAAATTTACTCTTCTAAAACGGAAATAGTGGTAAAACCTTATTAGCAGGAAACTTCTATGGGCCCTTGCTCCTCCTCGCTCTCGCATTGTGCAACTACGAGGAAAACCGATTAATTTATGGTTTCCTCATCTTTGCTTTTCTTTGGTCTTCTAGGCAACCAAACTTTAGAAAGTGTGGGTTTGATTTATGTGCCATATTTTGTTCGTATGAGAGTATTCAATTTCTTGCATCGAGTCCTTATTTGTATGGCGTTGATCTTGTCATTTTTGTTCTTTGGCAGTATAATGAAGTCTTGGGCAGGGGTGCATTCAAGACTGTGTATGGCTCCAAAACTTTATCCTTCATTCATGTTTTCACAACTCAGCATATTAGCTATGGTCAAAATATCAATATATTGTTAAAAGGAACTTTTATTAACTCTGTTGATGGTGTTGTTTTGTTTCCTTGATTCTTCTTTGTAGCTACAAGGGTTTTGATGAAATTGATGGAATAGAAGTAGCTTGGAACCGTGTGAGGATTGATGACATGTTGCAGTCGCCAGAGGATTTGGAAAAACTGTATTCCGAAGTTCATCTTCTTAAAGCATTGAAACATGAAAATATCATCAAGTTCTACGATTCATGGATTGATGATAAGAAAAAGACGATCAACATGATCACTGAACTCTTCACATCTGGTAGTCTGAGGCAGTAAGTCATCTTTATCGTTTCTTATAAGTTCATTCATTTGTTTCACCGGTTAGTGTTCTTGAAGTAATCATGTATATTTTGTCTATCAGATTTCGTAAGAAGCATAAAAATGTTGATATGAAGGCTATAAAGAATTGGGCAAGGCAGATTCTCCGAGGTTTAGACTATCTTCATAGTCAGAACCCACCAATTGTTCATCGGGACTTAAAATGTGACAATATATTTGTTAATGGAAACCATGGAGAAATTAAAATCGGAGACCTTGGATTGGCAACTGTTATGCAGCAGCCTACTGCTAAGAGTGTTATTGGTAGGAGCACATTTTCTTTAATTTATTTATTTTTAAAAAAATAAAAATAAAAACTTTATTCAGAGTGCTGAAATTGTTTTATTTTTCACATTAGGAACTCCTGAATTTATGGCTCCGGAGCTGTACGAGGAGGAATATAATGAACTGGTGGATATATATTCTTTTGGAATGTGCATGTTGGAAATGGTTACTTTTGAGTATCCTTATAGTGAGTGCAAAAATCCAGCACAAATCTATAAAAAGGTTACCTCTGTAAGTTCACCCATCTTTAGCTTCATCATTCATTTTTCCGGGTTGGTAGAAACTAGAAACAAGAAAGTTGAAATTCATTTACGTGACAATTGAACAATGTGTTGGATTACAGGGAATTAAACCTGCGTCCCTTGGCAAGGTGAATGATCCTGAAGTTAGGAAATTCATCGAGAAATGTCTGGTTCCGGCGCCTCAAAGGTTGCCTGCTAAGGAACTTCTTAAAGATCCATTTCTTCATTGTGAGACTCTAAAGGAGCCCGTTCGTGACCCATTAAAGTTGCCCAACCAACTTTCTCGATCATTAAGTTTGTTGAACTCCGAACCCCATTCCATGGATATTGATCCTGAATATAACAACTCTGTATGTACAGACTCCAACAGCGGGAGTCCACGTAATCCAGTCGTAGAATTCAAGAGGATGCATCAGAACAATGAATTTAGGTTGAGGGGGGTAAAAAATGATGACAACTCAGTGTCGTTGACCTTGCGAATTGCAGACTCGGGTGGTAAGTTTATGATTTTTTTCACTTGTTTTACTCTGCTTCATGCTTCATAGGGGGTGACTTCTAGCTTTTTACTTCAGTTAAGCTGAAATAACATGTTTGTTGTAGCTTATAGCAAAATAATTAAAGCTTATTTCAACTGATTTAAGGTCAAATAAGCTGATTTTAAAAAGCTGGCTAGGGGGGTGCATCTCAGCTTTCAGGAAATTCTATTTCCACATACTAAGTTTCTTTACTCCACACACTTAATGAATTTTTTCAAAATCACAATTTTATCCTTTAACAAAATTACCATCTCACCCACCATCAATTAATTGTCTCTCGTTTGGTTCGACATTGAAGTCTTGCTCTGAAATCATCACAGTTTCTTCAATGTCCTCCTTGCTTCTAACAGTGATCCAATCTTCTTCCCAACTCCAATTGGGCAAATTTGAACTATCTCCAATCAAATTTCGGATTCTCTCTGCCGGAAAATTTGAAGATGAACCGATGTGGGTCAGATTCCGGTGAGCTTCCGATACCTCCACTAAATCTCAAACACCTTGATCTAACATAGTCATTGGAGAATTCCGAGTAAATTCTTCATCTACTTTAGGAGAATTCGATTCCAGATCATCAAGAAATGGGTGACGAAGAAGCTCTTTACCTGTCCATCTCTCTTTGGAATCTCTTCTCAAACATTTTCCCAGAAAATCTTTAGCTTTCTCGGAAAACCAGGTAGGAAGCTCCGGCACTTCTTCGGAAAACCCAATTGTGTACAGAGTCAACACAGGGTCGTTAACCTTCGGCCATGGGTGAAACCTAGTGGCCATCTCAATTATAGTACACCCAAGAGCCCACACATCAGCTAAAAACCCCTGTTTTTCACCACGCACCACCTCCGGTGCCATAAACACCAGTGTACCGAAAAATGGTGCTGCCGCAACTCCGCCGTCCTTCACCATCCATTTGGCACAACCCAAGTCTGCAATTTGATACCATCTTCGCCGATCAAAACATTCTGACCCTTGAATTGCAGACTTGGGGTTGGGTAAGGGGCATGAGGGGTGATATCATTGAAACGAGGAAGGGAGAAGAGTGGTTGTTGACAATCGGCGGCCGGCAGTGGACGATGGCAAGGGTTAGGGTTTGTTGGAGGAGATGAGGGTAATATGGTATTATATGAAAATTGGGGTTGTGTATTGAGATTAAATCAATATATTTAATTTGTATGTGGTGTATACTGAGTAAATGATGTGTATTGAGGGAATTGTGATGTGAAAATAGAATTACCCCAGCTTTCTGCTTGTATGAGAAGCTGTTTTTAATTAGAAATTTACTTAAATATCCCTCATATTTCTCAAATATTACCATTATGCCCCTATATAAAAAATCCATCCCCTTATTTCTCCTATACTTCCAACCTCTATGGCTAATAAGGGCAAAAAAGACAATTATACAATAAAAAACTACTGTACAGCTTCTTTAAACAAACAGCTCTGCAATTTAAATCTATAATCCAACCATTGCATCAAACATAAACATGTTAAAAAGGTTTTGCTCAAAGCTATAATCTATAATATATTCTAAAAGCTACACCAAATGGGCCATAGTCAATAATTTCTGATAGTTTTTCTTACTTGCAGGCCGAGTAAGGAATATACACTTTTTATTCTACCTCGATTCTGACACTGCACTCTCGGTTGCGGGCGAGATGGTTGAACAACTAGAGTTAGCAGATCATGAGGTGGCGTTCATTGCCGAGTTCATTGACTACTTAATAATGAGAATTCGACCCGGTTGGAAACCTTCATCAGATTACAGTATGAGTGGAATGAAAAGTCCATGTGTACCGTCTTCACCAATAAACGCCAATGAACCAAAACCAATTGAAAATCCATGGGATACAATGCTAACATTTCGTGCTTCACCCCAATTAATGGAGTTGAAAATTAATACTCAACAAGGTCGAGCTCAAAGTGTTCAAGCTGGGGAAGATAGCTCGCATAAGAACTCTGATTGTTCTAGTCCTAATGCTGATCTTCAAAGTTCTCCGAGTTTGGCACATTTGGAAGACGACGAATCACAAGCTTCAGCTTCTTTTGGGGTAATGGCTGAAGATGCTCCAACAAAGAACGATAAAATGGGTGGATCTATCGACTATGGAATCGATGAAAGCTCCAAAGGATTTAGTGGGTATGAGACTGAGATAGAGTTCAGGGATTTTTACTATGAAAACTCACAGGGAAATGATAGTGCTGGAGACTTGACACTGTTGAATGAATTTGCAAAGAGCTCAGAATTGTCCTCCTTTCTTGATTTTGGAACTTCTAAAGTTATGAGGTTTACAAGCTGTTGGTCATCTCTGTCCTTGTCGGAGAAAGATCAGGATGTTGAGCTGAAGTTGGAGCTCGAAGCAATTGAAACACAATATCAGCAATGGTACCGAGACCTCTCGAGGATGAGGGAGGAAGCGATTGAGGCAACTAGGAAGAGATGGATGATCAAAAAGAAGCTGGCTGTTCACTGAAAAATAAGAACTTGTTATTAGCTTTCTGAATTCATTTATTGATTTGGGCTGTGAAGTGAATTTTTGCTTTTTCATTGTCTGCAACTTGCTTCAACCTTCTTATATATGGGTTTGTAAGTTTATTGTTTGGAAAACATTCCTGTACTGGATGTTGCTTGTTTCTGTTGCACTCATGATTTCTGTGAATTCCTTTTATGTACTTGGGAAGGGAAGATCAAGTTGATTACCTAGTTTTAGAGTGTATTTAGTGGTCATGTTTTGTTAATTGTTTACTTCAAGTTCACATTGTTGCTCATCACTTTGACACTAAATCATTATTTCACATTTGATTTTATTTATAAGCCATACAATTTTAGGCTTGAACAGTGAATAATTAAGGTCTGGTTGGATAATGTTAGCATTTATTATTATTTTTTATTTTTTATTTTTTATTTTTTTTGGGGGGGGAGGGGAGGGGTTGTTAAAAATCAAAATCTTGTTTTGAAAACAAAAATAAAGAAATATATTTGGTGAGTTGTTAGTGACGAGGTGATTGGAAGTAGAGGGTGGATGGATGTAGTGGTAGGCAGTGGGGGGTGGATGGATAGAGGTGGCCACTAGAGTGTCATGGGAGTGGTCAGAAGGCTAGTGGAAGATAGCTGGAGGTCGGTGCTGGCTTGTAGAGGCAAGAGGTGAGGGAGAATAGAAAGTGAAAACTTGTTTTGAAAACAAGTGAAGACACTTCTTTTTTTATGTCGTTTCAAAAAATTATAAAAATCTTGGAATGAAGTATACTTTTTGAAAACAAAAACAAAACCAAGTAAATTTTCATTTTTATTTTTCAAAACCAATGAAAACAAATATGTTAACGAGGCCTTCATTGGTTGAGTAATGCTACATACAAAATAAAATTTAAAAACTTGTTTTACCAACGTGAGCTGCTCTTTTCATATTATTCATTTTTCATAATTCCAAAGTTTTATTTTCGTGTGACACATCTGTAAGTAAAAAATAAAAAATAAAATTGTTAATTTGTATAACATTCTTGTTAACACATACTGTCCTGTAGCTCTCACACTGGGCTATTAGAATTCAAACATGCATGATGACAAAAGCATGAAATTTCACAAGAAGAGAACCCAACACAAGCATAACAGTTTAAAGCCATGTGTATCTTTTTTTTTTGTTCATTTAGTTTTCCTCAGTCAAGTTTTTTGATGCATAGCAACAATGGCTTCAACAGTTTTGATCCAAAAGCGTTCTGTGGCAAGAAAAGGCTTGTCACCATAGTATTTCAGCAAAAGGCTGGTAAATTTCACAATTCAGAACTAGTACAGCAAAAAACGAAAAAGAAATTCAACCAGCACCAGATAAATTTCAACCAAGACAATGGAACAAAATGCCACGATCTTTTATTTGATTTCATTGAAAATTCACTTTTTATTTTTTTATTTTAAGTTTTCAAAAATTGATATGGGGAGCATTATGCTTAACCCCCCCTGCATATCCGAGAAAAAAAAGAAGTTTAATAACATTATCTGATGAAATCCAAAACTGGACAAACCAAAAGTGAATAATACTTGACAAAATGAAAGACAGCAGCAACATTTAGTCTTCACGCCACTGGTGTCTACATTTCTCATTCAAGCACCAGTAAAATGTTGACATAGGCTCATCAGCTGACCTGATCTGCATTTGCTGGAAAACAGCCTTCCCGAACCCGCAATTTGGACACGTTGCTACAGAACAGGAGAAAAAGAGGGCATTAATTAAGCCATACCATAGCATTATAATGCTTTAGCTCATAAATTAAGGCCAAGTTTGGCATAACCTAAATAATACAAAAAGTCAAAAAGTCACTATCCTATTTAAGTTACATCATCTTATTTAAATCACATCACCTCTCTAACACATCACATCAAACCTAATCCAAGCCCAACCCATATAAGCCAATAAGTCAAAAAGTGCATTTTTCTAGAACATCCAAAACCAACCGTAAGTTAGGACACACCAGGTTACGGTAGTTGATATTTCTGTCAACTTACATCCTATTAAGTCTTTAAAATTATGGTAAATATAGATTAAATGACTGCTACACCATTGGTGACTCTCTCTCTCTCTCTCTCAAAACCTCATTGAAGACTGTTTCTACTCATTCTCTTGGCCATAAACCTTTCACTTAGACCATATAACTCCTACCCAGAGTTGGTTTCTTAAACATGGTAATATCATCTTGAGCAAACTATTTAATTTTATCCTCAATAGGTACATTTTACTGTTTGCAGATGCATTCATTGCTAAGCTCTCTCTTATATTACAGCTAATCTATCATTAACAAGTTTATTTTGCACACATTTTCATGTCTAGCAAATTAGGGTTTTGCAACTACTTAAGAGAAGAAGAAAACAAATGTACAAGGACGAAAAAAAATACAAGAGTACACAATTTAACTATTTGCCTCGTGACACAATCTAAATATTTGCCTTGAATAGGCATCGTCAATGTTTACAACGCGTAATTTTTAACTGTTATGCAGCCCGTGGATGTTGAAAACACACCATGATGCAAAACAAGAAAAATGGGCAAAATTGGAATTGCACATATAGCATGCCTTGTGCATTGTACAATCATGTTGAGGGTTATTTTGAGTCTTATTTTTATTATTTAGGTTAAATACTGTTGGAACAAGTTTATTAGTATTTATTAGGTTGTAATGCTATGATCTTTGGCAGTTCATATCACTAGCCCACAAGCATGAGCACCATTTTCAACTAAATCCCCAAAGAATCGTGGACATAAAAGTGAATAACTCTATCAAGTTGCCTTTGGTTTTACAACAATCATGGCGAAATTGCAGACCACTTGAGAAACACACAAAGAGATCAATAAAAACAATGCTCAGAAAAAGTTTCAATTCTACGTTATGAACAATAACTACAATTAAAAAGCAAAAAACTAAAAACCAAATCAATCAAACTAAGAAAAATGAGTTATCAAGTTGGAAATCCCATTCTTTGCTGAAAATAATGAGTATCAGGTTGGAAATCCAAACAAGTGTATATATCTATACATACATATTTCTGTTAAACAAATTGTTCCCATGTTTATATATTTGTTTGTATGTATATATATATATATATCTGCTAGAAGAAAAAGAAAATTTGTCCCCATGTTTGAATGTGTGTACATATATGCATATATCTGTTAAACAAATTTAGAAATTAATTTAATTGAATTTTATTTTCTTTGCTAGAAATCAAAATATGTTTGCATGTGTTTATCTTTGATGATTTCAGCAATTTCGGCGTATATCTTTGATGACATTAGCAATTTCTGTTAGTTGTGTGAATGTTAAACAAATTGTTCCCATGTTTATATATTTGTATGTATCTATATATATCTGCTAGAAGAAAAAGAAAATTTGTCCCCATGTTTGAATGTGTGTACATATATACATATATCTGTTAAACAAATTTAGAAATTAATTTAATTGGATTTTATTTTCTTTGCTAGAAATCAAAATATGTTTGCATGTGTTTATATTTGATGATTTCAGCAATTTCGGTTAATTGTGTGAACGGCAGTAAAAAAAAGGGAAGAATCTTGATATTGTTAGTTAAAGTAAGAAAAATTTCTGTAATTATTGAAATCACAGGAGAGGATTCTGTATTTATCAGAAATCTCAGGGCAGGCAAGTGTAATTTACCCAAATGGAAAATAAAAAGAAAAGAAGCAAGATCAATATTCGAGGTAAATATATATATATATATATATATGAGACAGATACCTTCGGTTGTGGGCCCATTCTTCATATCATCTTTGGAGAAGATGGGTTCTATCTCTTTCTTAACTAAATGTTGCCTTCTCTTTATCTTGACCTGTAAAATGCTCAAATGGACACACTATCATTAGAAGAAGAAGAAGAAGAAGAAAAGAAAAAGATAAAAAATAAAAAATAAAAATCCATTAGAGGGTTTATTAGGTGAATTACCTTGGCCTCTAAATTACAGACATATGGACAAGTTGGGCAGAAGAATCTGGCAGGGCGGCTCATATGGGGCAACTCATACTGCAACAAGATCCCACAAGTTGGGCAGAATTCCATCTGCCTAAGCTTGAAGCACAGACCCACCCTATAACTGTAATGGAGTTATTTCTCAATTCAGTGCAAAATATATTGTATGCTTACCAAAAAGAAAGATACAACTAGAAAATCTTAGAATAAAGTTAAAATGATACCCTATCAACAACAACAAGAACAACAACAACAACAACATGTTATGTTAAGCGAATAAAAATCATAAAGAGGTAGGTAGAGACTCTGATTAGGGTTTCAGAGAAGGAGAGGAGATAGAGATACCATGGCTGCTGAGCCTGCTGTTGCTTGCTGTTACAAGCCGAAACCAAAAATGTCTGCTCTGCAGATATAGAGAGAGCGAGGGAGACAAGGGCTTAGGGTTTTGATATTTCGCTTTTATTTTGGTAGGGATTCACAACTAGGACTAGCCGGGGCTTTGATGAGTTTGGGCCCACATGACTTGGACTGGGCCTTATCAAAACAAAAGGCACAGAAACCTTAACTTGAAAACTAGAAAAGAAATAGCACCCAAAGTTTCTGGAATACTGAACCGTTTTATAATTGAAAGGAGTAACTATAAAACTTCAAATATGAGCCTTTCCTTTTGAAGCTCAAAAAAGAGTTAGAGCTGAATTTCCAAACACAGCCAAAAATTTACTCCCAAGTTTTACAACTTCTAATCCTAATTATTAATACATAATTATTATTGAATCTTAACTGAATACAAAATAAATAAATAAATAAATCAATCAATCAAATACCAACCAAACAATCTAACAACTCAAAGAATTAAATCCCATGCAAGAAGGCCCTCGAAATATATCAAATTGATACTGAAATGAGTAAATTTATGGCCTACTGTTGGAGGGGGCTTCTCTGACCAATATATTCCTTTTGCTCTTAAGACTTTCTTTCCATATTTCTGACCTTACTGTTGGAGGGGGCTTCTCTGACCAAACCTTGACTGTGTAGTACTCACAGTGTTTTCTTGCTTGTAGCTCATAGTTTCTGAATCATTTTGATTAATCATGGACCTCTAATTCTATGTGTGTTAATTTGCCTCATACATTAATCAAGTTTTATGCATCCTAAGCAGTATATAGAATTATATGTATATAACACAAAAGTAATTGCTAATCAATACTACAATATCACATAATCATTGAAAAACCCTGAGTTGATTATATGTTGTTTGTAAGCTTTGAGAATATTGGTTAGTTGTTTGTCTTTGGTTTTGGCACATTAAATACAATGATTATCAATCATATAGTGTGTTCATCAACAACCACATGCTAAAAATAAAATAAAATAAAATAAAACAACAAAGAATATCAATCGTCAAATAAGCACTTTTCCAGTTGAAATTTGCAATTTTTTCAGGTACCCATTAAAAAACAAAACACTGAAGATCTCAAATCCAGCAGCTAATATTGATGATACAGCGTGTTCTGGATATAACGGGTCGGACTGATCCACGCTTCCCAAACTGGAGCCTGAGGTACCAAGCCCACAGAGAGACCTGCACAAGAGTTCAACGGGGAACTGGGAGTCCCCCAGCGAACCCTCCGATGAGCAAGTTAGAAAGAGAGATGGAGTGTAGAGATAGATTAGTGATAGAAAGCTTAACCTTCTTCTTGTCTTCGACGTCTGCTTATATCCTCTGGTAATCATTTTGTTGTCCCTTCCGACCTGTCATCTTGGCTGAAAGTCTATGCTCTAGCTTGCCTTGTTCATGGTGAGGCCGTTCTGTCTCGACGGGAAGGGGTTATCGCAATAAATGCTGTAAAGGACTTCATAAATGGCTGATGTGCAGTGCAATAACTTTGCAGGATCTTTGTCTGCTTATGTGGCTTGTCCTTCTCTTACCGTGTGTTTAGATGTCATTGGTTCTTAATGCCATGTTAAGCTCCAGCACGTTGGGCTTTAGTATTTGAATTATGTATTGGGCCCTAAGTGGTGGGCTATATCCTTTGTGGGCTTACCCGTATCAGTAGTCCCCCATTCCCAAGTGTAGCTTTAGTCCAACGAAGGAAATAAAGAAGGAAACAGTAGTGCAGTAGACCCAGAGTACGTTTGGTAATTCCTAAGCCCAGAATCCCTTAGTAGCTTCCAGCTTAGTTTTGATGATTTTCAGAAGAGAACGGTTGGTAACCTCAACTTGGCCATTGGCTTGGGGATGATCTGGGGAAGAGAAACATGGCTGGATTTGAAGTTCTGCACAGAATTTCCTGAACTTGGCATTGTCGAATTGTTTGCCGTTGTCGGAGACGATGGCTTGAGGGATGCCAATCGGCACACGATCGACTGCCAGAATGAATCTGGTTGTGTTTCGCTCAGTAATTGTGGCAAGGGGTTCCGCCTCCACCCATTTAGTGAAGAAATCAATGGCGACGATTGCGAATTTGGTTTGGCCTCGGCCGGTGGACAATGGGCCAACTAGGTCGATCCCCTATTTGGCGAATGGGTAAGGACTGCAGAGTGTGATCAATTCTGTAGGAGGAGCATGAGGGATGTTGGCAAAGCGTTGGCACTTATCACATTTAAGCACGAATTCAGTGGCATCTTGATTGAGAGTAGGCCAGAAGTAACCGGTGCGAAGTATTTTGTGGGCTAGTGACCTGGCACTTGAATGATTACCACATATACCCTCATGGACTTCTCTCATCGGATAGACCGCTTGAGCAGGATTGAGGCATCGCAGGTATGGGCGTGAAAAGCCACGTTTGTACAAGAGGCCGCTAATGAGAATGTAATTGGACGACCGGGCCCTGACCTTGGCGGCCTGGTGCTTGTCGGCGGGCAATTCCCCATTTGTCAAAAATAGCAGGATAGCTGCCGCCCATGGGATAAGTTCATTTTGGAGGAAGTGGACTTGCTGTTGTGGTGGGTAAATGGTCGAGTGGGCCAGGTATTCAAGGCGAACGCCATGGCTGATGTCTGACTGGTTGGCAGAAGCTAACTAAGCCATTTCATCTGCCTTGGAGTTTTTCGTCTGAGGGATGTACTTGATGTGGAAATTATTGAAGAGACGAGCAAGGGGGAGTGCAATATCCCTGTAAGCCCGCATTGTGTCTTCCTTGGCATCGAATTCCCCCATGATTTGTCCGACAATGAGCTGGAAGTCGCTGAACACTTGGATATGGGTGACACCAATGTCTCTGGCGAGGCGGAGACCTACGATCAATGCCTCATATTTAGCCTCATTATTGCTTGCATCGAACAAAAAACGGAGAGCACACTTGAAATAGCCACCTTCAGGGGTGGTAAGAATGAAACCAGCCCCACTGCCTTTCTTTGCGGGATGATCCGTCGACGTTGAGGGTCCAAGAGTGGGGGTTTTCTGCCTTAGTGTGGGATTGCAGGGGTGGGGGAGCCGTGATTGGAGTGGGATTGGTGAATTCCAGGATAAAATCGGCAACAACCTGCCCTTTGATCGCCGTTAGAGATCGGTAGGAGATATCAAATTGGCTGAGCTCGACCAACCATTGCATAAGTCTGCCGGACAGTTCTGGTTATTGCATTATCTTTTTCAAAGATTGGTCAGTGAGGACCACGATGGAGTGGGCTTGGAAGTAAGGCCGGAGTCGTCTTAAGGCGCTGACCAGGGCCAAGGACATTTTTTCTAGCAATAGGTAGTTCTGTTCTGCGCCTCTGAGAGCTCGGCTAATGTAATAAACTGACCGCTGTACTGAATCGTCCTCCCTGATGAGGGTCGCACTGACTGCGGTGCTCGATACGGCTAAATAAAGAAAAAGGGGCTCACCCGTGAGCGCCTGGGAGAGTAAGGGAGGGTTAGCCATGCACTGCTTCAATTGTTGGAAAGCCTCTTTAGACTCGGTCGTCCATTCAAAAGTTTGCCGAAGAACTTTGAAGAAGGGGAGGCACTTGTCCGTTGTGCGGGAAATGAAGCGATTGAGGGCGGCGACTCTGCCAGTAAGCCTCTGAATCTCCTTAACCGTTCTGGGTGACTGCATTTCTATCAAGGCCTTGATCTTTTCGAGGTTAGCTTCGATGCCCCGCTGACTGACCATGAAACCCAAGAACATTCCAGATCCTACGCCGAAGGCGCATTTCTCCGGGTTGAGCTTCATTTGATACTTTCGTAAGGTGCCAAGGTCTCTCACAGGTCGGCCAGATGATCAGTGGAGAGTTTGCTCTTGACTAACATGTCATCGACATATACTTCCATATTCCGGCCTATCTGATGATGAAAGACGGCGTTGACCAACCGTTGGTAAGTGGCTCCGACATTTTTCAACCCAAATGGCATCACACGATAATGGTAGGTTCCTTGGTCGGTGATGAAGGAGGTGTGTTCCTGGTTAGACGGGTGCATCAGAATTTGGTTGTACCCAGAGAAGGCATCCATGAAGCTGAGCATTTGATGACCGACCATGGCGTCAACAAGCAGATCTATGCGAGGAAGGGGATAACTGTCTTTGGGGCAAGCTCGGTTGAGGTCGGAATAGTCGACACAGAGTCTCCATTTGCTGTTGTTTTTACGGACCAGGACCACGTTTGACAGCCATATGGGGTAGTCCACGCTTGTGATAAACTGTGCCTCAAGGAGCTTATCTATTTCAGAAGCAATAAGAGTATTGGGCTCCGGGTGAAAGATGCGCTGCTTCTGGCGGAAGTGTCCGAAATAGGGCTCAATGCTGAGACAATAGGTGATGAAGAAGGGGTCAATACCTGGCATGTCGGAGTGGGTCCAGGCAAATACGTCGTTGTGCTCAATCAGGAGGGCCGTAAGGTTGGCCTTAGCCTGAGAGGATAGTTGGCTGCCGATCTTGGCAGTTTTTGTTGGGTTGGTGGGATCGATGAGGACGTCGACAAGCTCTTCCACTGGTTCCCCTCTGACCAGCTCATCTTCGTCTCTAACGTCGAGCCCGTCAATGATCATAGCCTCATTTAGCTTGACCTCTTTAAGTGAAGTGACATAACATTCTCTGGCCTCGGTCTGCTCTCCCCTCACTGTGCCGACCCCAAGGTCGATGGGAAATTTGACGGCAAGATGGAAAGTGGATGTGATAGCTTGGAAAGCATTTAGGGCGGTGCGGCCGAGGATGATGTTGTAAGCAGAGGGACAGTCGACAACAAGGAAGGTGAGCAACTTTGTAGTCTGCCGCTGGTATTCTCTAATTGTGATAGGAAGATCGATGGAGCGGATGAAGGTCACCCGATCGCCAGTAAAACCAACCAATGGGGTTTGGAGAGGGAACAGACTTTCTTCCCCAACCTTGAGCTCGCGAAAGGCATTTAGGAAGATGATGTCTGAAGAACTGCCGTTGTCAACGAGAACCCGTCTGACTTTGTAATTGGAGAGGAGGGTAGAGATAACGAGGGGGTCGTCATGGGGGTAACGGATGCCTGTGCAGTTGGCCTCCGTAAAGATGATGGGCTCTATCCACTGCATGGGCTGTTTGGAAAGGCGGTCCACTGTGGCAACTTCTTTATCCGAGCCCTGCCTTATTTTTTTGAGTTCTGCCCGCTAAGCCAAGCGGGATGGTCCTCCACAAGCAAGCCCGCCAGCAATAACTCTGATCTCTCTAACAGAGGGGGCAGGGTTACCTTGTGCCCGGGGTTGCTGTGGAGGGCGATCATGACCTTGGTTAGGTTGTGGGGGTTATCGATGAGGGGTGCGGCGGCGGTTGTTTCTGATGGGTTCAGTCTTTTGCCTCTGCTGAGAATGGGCTTCCGTGAACCGACTGAGACGTCCCTAACATATCATGCCCTCGACCTGGTCTTTGAGGTTAACACACTCCTCCGTATTATGGTCGTGGTTCTGATGAAAGCGGTAGTATTTGGACGGGTCTCGACGGTTGGAAGGAGACCGTGACGATTGGGGCCATTTGAGGGGATAATCTCGTTGAATCTGGTTCAAGACTTGTTCCATAGGGGAGTTGAGGGGGGTGTATCGTTCGAACTTGCTGGGCGATCGGGATGACGCTGACCGGTCGGCTCGGGGTGGTCGGTCGGTATACTGAGGTGTTTGGTGAGTGTATTGGGTGTTTCTGGTTTCTAAGTCTTTTCTCTTCTCTTTGGGGGTTGGGTTTTTGGCTGTAGGATCTTGTCGGGTGGTTAGGGAATCTTCGGCGTTCATGTATTTTTGGACTTTGGAAAGTAGGGTTGCCATGGAGGTCGGGGGGTTTTTGGAGAGGAAGAAAAGGAAGTCAGATGATCGTAGACCGGCCATGAAAGCCGTGAGAATGACCTTGTCATCAATTTTTGCCACCTGCAAGGCCTCGGTGTTGAAGCGGGTGACGAAGCTACGCAGCGACTCTCCCTCCATCTGACAGATGTTATGGAGTTGAGTTGCCGGACGTCGTTGGCGCTGGGCACCAATGAAGTGGCTGAGGGAGGAGTCACTCAGGTGTTGGAAGGTAGAGATAGAGTCCGTCGGTAGCTGACTAAACCACAGTCAGGCTGACCCCTTAAGTGTTACGGGGAAAGCCCGACACATGATTTCATCAGGGAATGCATGGAGAATCATGAGGGTCCTGTAGGTCTCCAAGTGATCGACTGGGTCCGTTGTACCGTCGAAAGAGTCAATCGAGGGCATTTTAAACTTAGGAGGTAGGGATTTGTCCTTGATGAAGGCAATGAATGGTGAGTTGGCTGTGGTAGATGGTTTATGCTGTATGTTCTGCATGACTCCTTGGAGCTGGAGCTTTATGGCTTGGAGTTTCGTGTCCCAGAGTGGAACGTGGTCACCCCCGGAGTGTAGCGGGGGCTGGACACTACTGGCCTCTGCCTTGCGTGTGGGTGCCTGGACCGATGAAGGTGGGACCTGGGGTGGCAGGTTTATATCTGGGGGAGGGGGTCACAAGCCTTCCAAGTTGGGTGGATGGGGCTATTGGATAGTATGGCTCGGGGCTCGTTCTTGGTTGGATGGGATATCTGGAGGTGGTGGAGGGGGCACATGAAGGTTTCTTTGGAGTAGAGCATTAATCAGGGTTTGGTTTTGCTCAGCCAGGCAGTTAATACTGTTGGTGAGCTCAGTAAAATACTACGGTGGGTTGTTTGGATTGGGAGGGTCGGCTTGGTGGTCGGCAACATTGTGGTGAGAAGCCATGGATATAGTCGTGACCACCCACCTTGGTGAGTGGCAGGAAAGGGTTATTGGGGAAGGATTTCCGGCGACAATGAGCACAACTGGCGCGCGGAGTAAAAAATGATTTCTTTTTCCACAGACGGTGCCAACTGATGATACAGCGTGTTCCAGATGGAACAGGTCGGACTGATCCACGCTTCCCAAACTGGAGCCTGAGGTACCAAGCCCACGGAGAGACCTGCACAAGAGTTCAACGGGGAGCTGGGTGTCCCCCAACGAATCCTCTGACGAGTAAGTTAGAAAGAGAGATGGAGTGTAGAGATAGATTAGTGATAGAAAGCTTAACCTTCTTCTTGTCTTCGACGTCTGCTTATATCCTCTAGTAATCATTTCGTTGTCCCTTCTAACCTGTTATCTTGGCCGAAAGTCTATGCTCTAGCTTGCCTTGTTCATGGTGAGGCCGTTCTGTCTCAATGGGGAAGGGTTATCGCAATAAATGTTGTAAGGGACTTCATTAATGGCTGATGTGCAGTGCAATAACGTTGCAGGATTTTTGTCTGCTTATGTGGCTTGTCCTTCTCTTGCCACGTGTTTAGATGTCATTGTCCTTAATGCCATGTTGAGCTCCAGCACGTTGGGTTTTAGTATTTGAATTATGTATTGGGCCCTAAGTGGTGGGCTATATCCTTTGTGGGCTTACCCGTGTCAAATATGAATTGGGAAAGAGGGGAATTTGGGGACACCTTTGTATCGACTTTCGCCGTTGCAGATCGGCTAAGAATGAGGAACTCAACTTCCACTTGAGTTCAAAGGGAAAATTGGGATTGAATCAGAGACAGATTTCTGATCAGATCGAAAAACCCAAATGCGAAACAAAAGCTTATGATATGATTTATGATTTCAAGGAATCAAACCACACACGCAAACCCAAAAATGAGGATTCTAGGTTGTTTAGGATTTTCAGACCCAGTGTATACATTCAGTATTTGAACGAGAGAGAGAGAAAGAGAAACAGAACACCACGCCGAAGAATCACCGTGGTAAAGTACCGACGAAGATCGCCACCGCTAGATTGCCGCTGTCACAAATCGCCGTTGATGCAGTGAGAGGATGACAGAGAGTGAGAATTAGAATCCTAGTCATAAATAGAGCAGTGACAACATACGGGGAAATGGGTGGATACCCTTCCCAACCCGTCCACAGTGGAGGTTTTAAGAAATCCACTTATCCGACCTGATGGTTTAGGAGGAAAAAAAAAAAAAAGAAAAATTCATATATTTCAATCGGATCTTCATGGATATTTAGAGGGTAAATTATTTATTGCCATCTTAAAACTGGGTTTAGCTCCAATCCATATTCTAGACCGGTCCAATTTAAGCCCGTCGACTCCAATTTATTCAACTTATAACTTTCATAAGGAAAAACAAATGGGAGACTTACCAGCTGGTCCCATAGAAACAAATTAATACCCACCAAGTCCTGTCCTATTTCAGTTTCCAATTTTACCCCTCAATGTCACACCACACGTGTAAAGCAAAGAAGATATCATGAGCTCTCCCCTGTGCGCGTGACACACACGCTCCTTCTCAATTGTTCTGATTTGGAAACCATTCTGAGCCGATTTGGAAACTATTCTGAGGCGATTTGCAATTTGGAAATCGAAACAAATGAAGAGATTTTCCCTGAATCTCCCATCGTTTTCAAAGAAATCACCTCTCTTTCGATCTATATTCTGATTCCGAACAGATCTCCAGCAAATCTTCCACCGTTTCGATCTATATTCCCTGTTTAGTTTATCTTCAACAAACATGCGAATCAAACGTGAGTCATATTCATTTTCCTTTCTTCTTTTATAATTAAGTGATATTCAATTTCACAATAATCACATCTTCATGTTCATTTACTATACAATAACATATTTGCTTATTTTGCCCAATTTAGTGAGAATTTTCTATAAGAGTAATAGATTTGCTTAATTTTCTTAATTGAGTGATAAAATTTGTTGTAATGATGGATTTCCTTCCCTTCTTCTTTCATAATTATAATTGAGTTATAAAATTCGACTTGAAGCTATTTTCAATGTGTATTAATTTATGATTGATATTCAACTTCATAATAATCATATCTTCATGTTCATTTGCTATACAATGATGGATTTGCTTACTTTTGCTAATTCAGTGATAAAATTTGATATACAATAACAGATTTGCTTACTTTGTCCAATTCAGTAAGAAAATTTGCTATAAGAATGGTAGGTTTGCTTAATTTTCCTAATTTAGTGATAAAATTTGTTATAATGATAGATTTGCCTCCCTTCTTTTCTCATAACTATAATTGAGTGATACAATTCGACTTGAAGCTATTTTCAATCTGTACCATATAGTATTAATTTATAAGCAATATTCAACTTCATAATAATCACATCTTCATGTTCATTTCGTATACAATGATGGATTTGCTTACTTTTGCTAATACAGTGATAAAATTTGCTATACAATGCCAAATTTGCTTACCTTGCCCAAATTAGTGAGAAAATTTGCTATAAGAATGATAGATTTGCTTAATTTTTCTAATTAAGTGATAAAATTTGTTATAACGATGGATTTGCTTTCTTTCTTCTTTCATAACTATAATTGAGTTATAAAATTCGACTTGAAACTATTTTTAATCTGTACCATACAGTATTAATTTATGAGTGATATTCAACTTCATAATAATCATATCTTTATGTTCATTTTCTATACAATGATGCATTTGCTTACTTTTGGTAATTCAGTGATAAAATTTGCTATACAATGACAGATTTACTTACTTTACCTAATTGAGTGATAAAATTTGCTATACAATGACGAATTTCCTTACTTTGTCTAATTCAATGATAAAACTTGTTATAACAAAGGTAGATTTGCTTAATTTGCCTAATCGAGTGATAGAATTTATTATAATAATGGATTTGTTTACTTTGCTTAATCGAGTGATAAAATTTACTTACTTTACCTTATTGAGTGATAAATTATCAACTGTTTTCATCTTCATCATGATACTTCATGTTCTTTTAAAATTTGGAATCTAAACTTTGGTATACAATTATATATTTGCTTAATTTGCATAATAGAGTGATAAATTTTTCTTAGTTTGCCTAGTTCAATGGTAAAATTCTTCTTAATTTTCAATGTTCATGCTCAATGTTTTTATACAGATGTTCCTAGTCATCGTAAAAGATTACGTCGTCGAGAAACAAGTTTCTCAAAGAAGAAAAAGATTGAAAAAGTTGAGTTTGTTATAGAGCCAACAACACATGAAAGTGAAAATCAACTAGAAGTTAAACCTGAATCTAACATTGACAATGAGGAGCCCAAACAGGAACAACTGAAACAAGCTACAGAGCTCCACAAAGCAAGAGAGAAGAAAAAGATTGATGGAAGAAAAACTAGGATTGAACAGATACATGATAATGAAGCAAAGTATGTCTACCGTTCTAACATTCAATCTCTTATCAAATTTTTCAAGACAGCAAAACTCAAAGAGGAGCATTTGACACTATTGAGAAAGACACCTTTTTCACTTCTAGTTGATACATTGAGTCAAAACAAGGTTAAAAGAAGAGATTCAATTAAATATGATGATGTGGTTGCAAAAATTTTGCAAACTTACCAAATTGATGGAACCACATTTGAAATTGGTGGGAAGAAACTGAAGTTGAAAAGAAATGAATTCAAGTTAATTTTTGGGATTGCATGTGGACAGAAGAAGATGAATCTTGCATACAGAAGAAAAAATGAGGTAGCTATGGTGCAAAGAAGGAAAATAGCCGAGAGCAGAATGACAAGTGCTTTAATCTAAAAGTTGATAACGAAACTTTTGAGAAGCAACAACAATGAAGATGTAGAAGATGTCGTTAGGCTTGTGTGCCTTTTGGTTTGTTTGCTTTTGTTGTATCCGGGTACTGGGACAACAATTGGTTGGGGGTTCATGAAATACCTCGAGAATATTGATGAAATGAAGTCTTATGATTGGTGTGGCGCAGCAAAACAACATCTTACAAGATCAATAGCACGCAACATCAACCAAATTGATAGAGTGTGCGGATGTGTGATCATCTTATTGGTAAGTAAATACCTCACTTACAACTTATAAACTATAATATTACATTTACTAAATACTAATTTATAACATTTTTTTTGTCCTCAACAGTATTGGATATGTGAGCATATAAAGATTATCAAACCAAATGACAAGAATGCAATCCCAAGATTTGCAAAATGGAACATCACACATCTGGGAGAACAATTGGCAAAGTCATCCTTGCATGATCTGAAACATATTGAGGTATCCATTGATATCCTTTGTTTTGTTTAAACAAATATTAGATTTTGTTATGCAGTGATAAATTTTAACTCGACTGATAATTCTTCTTAATCTTCATGGTGTCACATTTCTGGTAGAAAATTATTTAGGCATTTTATCTGTGCTACGAAATTATTTAAGAAACAAGTTTTATCAGTGTATAACCTTTATTTCTTTAATTGAGTGATGAATTTTGCTATGCAGCGATAAAGTTTGATACGAACTAATAATTTGCATATACAAACAATTGCAACCACAATAGCAACTTATATAGATGTCACACGTGAATTGGTGCAATGAATTCCTTCTCAACTGTTGCCACATGCATCTAACCCAACCCCAATTGAGTGGTCTATTTTGCTAGTCATTATTAGAACTCTTCACTGTATAAGCTTTGTTTCCTTAATTACGTAATAAATTTTGTCATAATTCTTCTTATTCTTCTTTGATTGTTTGAATTATTTTGTTTGCTAGCTAACAAAATGAATACAGAGGAATTATGAATATATTCAAGTTTTATCAGTGTTTCTTTGCTTAATTAAATGATAAATTTTGTCGTATATCCACAAATTTTGCATGGTTTGCCTACGTCATTGATATCCTTCTTTTATATAGATGTTATGAGCTCTCTCATGACATTATCTATGCCAGAAAGAAGATCTTTAACTGCACAAACACAAAAGCAAGAAGAGAAAGACAACAAAGAGACAAAAAAAAAAAATAGGATAACAAAAAGGAAACAGCAACAAGAGAAACAACAAACAAACAACAACAAAGGAAGAAAAGACAAAGACAGCAAAAGGATGAACCTGAAAATCAAGCTCAAAAACAAGGAGAACAAAAAGAAAGAATAACCAAACACCAACAATAGAAACAAGCCGAAACAAGAACCAAGCCCCAACAAAACAAACAAGAACCAAAGCAGCACAAACCAAAAGGCAAGAAGAAAATAAAGGGAAGAAAAACAAGAAATGATCAAATTCATGACCGTGAAGCAAAGTATGTGTACCGCTCAAACATGCTATCCCTCATCAGATTCTTCAATGCCACGAAACTTGAAATTGAGCATTTCCAAATATTGAAAAAGACTCCATTCTTCTTTCTAGTTGACATTTTGTCAAAAAAGAAGGTGCAAAAAGTAGATTCAATGAAATATGATGATGTGGTTGCAAAAATCTTGCAAACATACCAAATGGATGGAACCACATTTCAAATTGGAGGGAAGAAGCTAAAGTTGAAAAAAAATGATTTCAAGTTAATTTTTGGGATTGCATGTGGACAAAAGAAGATGAATCTTGTATATAGAAGAAAAGATGACATAGATCTGGTAAAAAGAAGGAAAATAAGAGAGAATAGAATGACAAGTGCTTCAATCCAAAAGTTGATAACCAAACTTTTAAGAAGCAAGAAGAAGGAAGACAGAGAAGATGTTGTAAGGCTTGTGTGCCTCTTGATTTGCTTGCTGTTGTTATATCCTGGTACTGGCACTACAATTGGTTGGGGGCTCATGAAATATCTTGAGGATATTGACAAAATGAAGTCTTATGATTGGTGCGACGCAGCAAAGCAACATCTCACAAAATCAATAGAAAGAAACATCAACCAAATTGATAAAGTGTCCGGATGTGTGATGGTCGTATTGATAAGTAAATACCTCACTTATAACTTATGAACTATAATATTTATGTTTATTAAATACTTGTTTATAACAATTTTTTTTGTCTTCAACAGTATTGGATATGCGAACACACAAGCACCATCAAACCCAATGCCAAAAATGCAATCCCAAGATTTACTAAATGGAACATCACACGTTTGGGACAGCAATTGGCAAGTTCATCCTTGCAAGATCTAAAAGATATTGTGGTATGCAATGTTATCCTTGGTTTTGTTTAAACAAATGATAGATTTTCTTATGCAGTGATAAATTTTTGTTCACACTGATAAATTTATTTAATTTGCTTAATTAAGTGACAAATTTCCCTTAGTATACCTAATTGAGTGATAAATTCTTTTACGTAGTGAATGTTTTTCTATTTGTCTACTGTGCATGAGTTTTGTTTCATATTTACTTTATTTGTGTCACTTTATATTCAACTAGAATTGATTAGATTTCTGTATTGATAAACTTATCCGTAAAAATGAATTGAATTAGACATTTTGTCTTATATTTAATTTATTTGATTACTTTTCCTAATTCAACGATAAAATTTGCTATACAATGACAGATTTGCTTACTATGCCTAGTTCAGTGATAAAATTTGCTATAACAATCATAGATTTGTTTAATTTTCCTAATTGAGTGATAAAACTTGCTATGAGAAATTTATCTCTGAAATTTGTATCATATCATTCATTTTTTAAATTTTTATCTATGTAGGAGAATAATTTGAAGCACACAGATAAAGAGAAAAAAATATACCGAATGCTGCTAGAAGAAATTGAGGATAACGATGAAGACGAAGATGAAGATGCTAATTTTCAATAACAAAATCAGACTGAAAATTCTGAAAAAGAATAACAAACATTCATTGAAGACAAATCCAAACATGAAACATGAGAACCAATTCCACACAAAATATGCCCTGAAAAGAAAATGAAAACAGTACCCTTTGAATCACAAAAGAGTGAGGGAAACAAAGTTGACAAAGAGGTTGAAGTGGATCCAAATCTGGTAGAAGTACTTGTTTTTTAGTAGATAGAAGATGGCATGCTCAAAATGGAAAGGGACATCCTTCAAACTGCAAATGATAACATGCAGCAGCAACTCAAGAAGTTGAAAAAAGAAATGCAAGATCAGCACAAAAGCACAAAAAATCAAATGCAAAGAAAAGATGAAGAAATCAAAATACTCCATGAGAGAATTGCAACATTGGCTGAGGCAAACAAGTACTCAGAAGAAAAACACACACAAGAGCAGCCTGCAATGAAGAAATTGAAAATTTCAAATGAAATTTTCAATATCCTACCAGAAAAATCAAGGCAAAATCCCATTGCACATTAGGCGAATACAAAGAAAAAGTAACAGTCTTCTCTCTTGACTCATGTAGTTCACTTTTGTCGACTGTTTATCAGTAACTCATATTCAATTTATAAGTAACAAGTATTCCAAAAATATTAATAAATTTATTATTCCAACACTAATAACATTTTTTTTCAGGGATGAGCTAGTATGGCAAGGATCTGACCATCCAACCTATGTCTACTTAAATGACATTGACAAAATATTGAAGGGTCAAGATTTGGCAGGCATTGTAAGTTGAATTTGTAACTCATTAAAATAACATTATAGTGTTTGATTTATATTAATTCCTTATTTTGTTTTTTGTTTTCAACACAGGTAAGAGACGCATATACAGAACACTTGCTTGCACAAAAACAAGGAACATCATTCATATTCATTTCAAGTTGCCATGTAAGTAACTAGTTTGCTTTACTGAGGAACAACACTTGTTTTGTTTTTTATCAGCATATAACCTCTGTTTGCTTAACTGAGTAACTAGTTTCAAACATATGACATTACCTTCCCTCTTCAATTGGCCCTGTTTCCTAATTCAAAGCTTGACATATGAAACAAAAAGTCAAGCAAACCAAACCAGAATTTCTAACTCAAATTTTGTAATCACTGTTGTATATTTTGACATTGTTATTGTGGCGCCACAGTATGAGTAAATCCCAGTCTTTGATTACAAATTTTGGACACTTTTTTGGGTTTTCGAAACTACTACATATGATATTAAGAACTTCAACAAATATTGAGATGTGTTGAAATTGAAATAGCTGGATTATATGCTATGATGTTGCAGGATATAGTTCACTTTCATTTTGTTAGTGGTGAAGCCTCATAGAGCTCTTGTTTGATGTAATTTATTAAATAATGGAAATCTTTCATTACAACTATGGAATGGAGAGAATCATGATATATATATATATATATATATATATTAGTAGATGTGCACACTCACATGAGTGTACTTGAAATAAGCAGTATGGATATATAGCCTGTTACAGATCATCTATGAATATTTACAGAATGAAAGAGAAGAATAGTATAGATATATTGGGAGATATAAAGATCCATTTCACATGGAGGAGAAAAAAAGGCCTCAAGACACCAATAGATGTGTTCCCTTTTATATGTAGTATAGATGAATTTTGCAATGCGGTGATGAATTTTGATATGGATTGATAAAATTTTGATCACAGTGACAAAAAGTTTCATACTCACTACCTATTTAATTCGAAAAAAGCTTAAAGTTAAATTAACATTATTTTTTTATTTATATTTGTTAGCACTTGTTGACAACAAAAGATAAGGAAGCAAGAAAGAGAATGCTGAACAAAATGATGCGTGAAGCCATGAAAGCAAGATACCTTCTCTTCCCAATCCACCAAAATTTTCACTGGACAATATTTGTCCTTGACATTGAAGAAGGTTCATGGAAATTCTACAATTCCATCAGACCAAGGGGAGCAATGGCTAAAGATCCACACTTCAATGCCGCAAATGAAGTGGTAAAAATGTTTTCACTATCAAACTTACCATTAATCCAATACATCAATCCTGATCCATGCTCTATTATACATCAAATATTTATACAGTAACATATTTATCATTCTTTAAATACATGGTTTCTCATTAATTGTTTCAACTGACTTTCTAATAGAACAATTATACAAATGTATATGTTGCAAAGAGAGATTATTGACAAGTACATAAAGGATGAGAAGCCAACTCTCATCCACCTTGATAAATTTCAACAGGAGACAGAGAGCGTCATCAACAACCCATAACAAGAAGACACGTTGTAAGTTTATCAATAACAAAACACTGTTATTAAAAAAAAAAAAAATCAACAAAACCAAATTATAATATTTTGTTTTCAAAATGTTTTTGTAGGCTTGATTGTGGAATCATTGTTTGCTATATCATGAGGCAATATGTTTCCAAAAACAACATAATGCCTACTTTTTCCAAGGAAGAATGCAATCAATTGAGAGCCAATATGTTAACTATCTTCTTGACTGACCAACAAGTTGCTCAACAACAAATACCTGAGGAAAACATTGATGACTTGCCTCTGCAATAATCAACAGATCTGGAAGAGAAGAAAACAAAAGGAAATACTGATTCATTTGGTTGTTAGAATGTCAATACTGTATACATTTTGCTTGTTTGTTTGTTTGTTACAGTGTTACCAGTATTTTGATGATTTTGGTTCTTACTTTCCTCTAATGAATATTACAATGCTTAGTTGTTACAATGTCAAAGTTATGGACAGTGCTTGGTTGTTACAATGTCAAAGTTATGGACAATGCTTAATTGTTACAATGTCAAATTTGCTTCAATGAAACATTCAGTCTTTTTTAGCCATATCGTTACCAGATCTGGCTTTTGATATCAGTTTTGTTATCCAAATTTCATTCAAAATATTGATTCTAATATGAATATTTGTGTTGAATTTAAAGGTTAATAACAGGTTTGGAGTCACCATACTGATAAATTTATTTTTTATAGTGTTTTGTTTACACTGATAAATTTATCACTGATTCAACAAATTTATCACTGTGAACACTGATAAATTTACCACTGTTCAAACAAAAAAACCAGCAACTCTCTCTCTCTCCCTCTCTCATTCTTTTTCCCCAATTCAAGTAAACAAAACACTATAAAAAATAATTAAAAAATTTACCGAATTGAAAATTAAAACACAAGTACTATTACATTGTTCAAATTGGAAATTAAAATACTGTTACAATTTGTAGATATTCCCAAGTTTGAGAATGAATGTAAGAACATGCCATCCTTGGTGATTTCTGAATAATCAAAACCATTTGATATTTCAGTTAAACAACTCAAACATCCAAAGCTTGCTTCTGAGTGACCACAAAACAGTATGCAGACCGAGAACTTTTTGCTAAACCAGATAAACATGGTAGTTGATCTAAAATTTTTTACTTTTTAAAGCAGTTAACACAGCAGATATGCAATTATGTATTCTAGAGATTTGATCTACACCTTTGTATTGTGAAAATTTTTCTTGGAAAAACTAGATAACTCCAGACAATGATAAATTTATCACTGTAGAAAAGAACATTTGCTTGAATATGACAGTGATAAATTTATCAATCACTGACATAAATGTAATAAACCATCAACTTTTCCCACACAATCAGTGATAAATTTATCATTCTTGAAAATAAAAAAATTCAAGAACCACATTAATGGTAAATTTATCATTCTTACAAAAAAATAATCCACCAACTTGTCAAAACCAACCAGTGATAAATTTGTCACTGTATAAAACACCAAAAACAGTAACTACATTTAACCCAAATCAAATAATATAAATCTGTGAAACTTAATCCTGTAAAAATATCAGCAAAAAATATAATTTATGTTCAACAAATTCCTCAATCATTCAATGCAAGTATCAAAATGATACATCTTTCAAAAAATACTCAATCATTCAATGCAAGTAACACCTCTCAACTCTCAACTCTCAACAAAGTAATTCAATTAAAATCAATACAACTAAAGCAAAACTTCTTTACATGTCTTCCGATTATGAGTTTCCATCTTTCCACACCTACTGCACCTAATTCTCTTGATTTTGCCTTTAGAAAGTATTCTCTCTGTTCTTGGACGTCCAACTGGTCTCTTACAAAGAGGAGGTAAAACAACGTCATCATCAACAACTATATTTGGCTTCCACATACTAGGAACTGGATAGATAGAATGTGAATAAAAATCACAATAACTACTAATACGATAGTAATCATCAAGAAAACAATTCAAATCCTTCACACTCCTCTTTATAGCACAAAAACCATGTTTGCAAGGAAAAGAATCAATTTCCAACAATCAACAAGAACAAGAACGTTTTCCAATATCAACCATAACTGAATGATCTAATTGGATTTCATAAATGTCATCGTTGCATTTCTTAACTATCCATGCTTTTGTATCATTAAAAGCTTCTTCTAACTTTTTCTCTGCAAAAAGACAAACAATACGATTCCACGTATTCCTAACTTCTCTCCTTCTTGAAAATTGCTCCATTAGTTTCACCCGTATAGCATCAACAAGACTAGCTGAAAACAAATGGCGTTCATCCGTAATCCATGAATTAAAAGATTCCACAGCATTTGTGCACATTTCACCATACTTCTTGCCTTGAAAATAAGCATTACACCAACACTCATTAGGCAAATCCTCAAGAAACTTCTCAATACTACGACCACAACGACCCTTAAATTCTTCAAATAGCTCATTAAACAACTCAATAGTAGGAGCATATGCACATCTACTAAAAAGAGTGAGCAAATACTCTTTAAATTCACAACTCTTCACTGACAAGTAAGTCTTCAAGTTTGTCTTCAAATGCATTAGACAAAAAGAATAAGAAGAAAACGGAAAGACCTCAGCTAAAGCTTTCAGCAAACCTCCATGCCAATCAGTAACAAACGCAATATCCCTCCCTGGAGTCAAAATAACAAATAACTTTGACAATAACCAATGCCAATTGTCATAACTTTCACTATCGACAATAGCAAAACATAACGGATATAAACCTACAAACAAAATATATATACACGTTATCAATAACAAATAACAAAAAATTACACAAAGAAAATCAAAACACAAAGTATATAACATATAGCACTAGCCATAGATAAATTTATCACTATATAAATATAAAAATTTAACAAAAGTATACAACATAAATTTATCACTAATAGATTGACCATACTCAATAATCAACACTCTCCAGTAACAAAAATGATAGAATTATCACTGTTTTAATAATAATAACAAATAGACATAGAATATACCTTGGTTACCATCTTTTGCCGTAGCAACCAATAAACAGCCTTTGTGTCTTCCTTTCAAGAAAGTTCCATCAAGCATCAACATAGGCTGACAATACTTGAAACCATGAATACATGCCTCAAAAGCAAAAAACAAGCATTTGAAATGTCTTCATTTACTATCAATATCAAATTTCATATAAAAAACACTCCTTGGATTGCAAGCATTAGCAGCATCAACATACCAACAAAGATCGTCAAATGATGATGAATAGTCACCAAAAATAAGACCCCTTTCTTTTTCAACACCCATCCAAGCTCGCCGATAAGAAACTTCTGTTCCATAATAGTCCTTGAAATCACAAACTACCTCACTAACCGATGTCAAGCCTTTATTACGAATATCACTTGAAATTAGCCCACCAATCATGCTTGAAGTTATCCTAGCATGTTTAATTGTACGAAAAGAAGATCCACAAGTATGAACATCATCAAATTGTTTAATAACAAAAGCTTTAGTATAATTTTCCACTCTAGCATGCACGCTCCATAAACATCCCAAATCAGCCCTTCTCTTACAATGAACAGTGACACGATCCTTATCATTCTTAACAAAATCAAAATTAAAACCGGAATGAATAGAATACTTTGACAACGCATCTCGAAATTCAACAACTCCTTGAGCAAACCTTTGTCCCACTCCTTTCATACAATTAACCCACCCATCAGAGAGCAAAGGTTTCTGTTGATTTGAATAAAATGAAGGCAAAAAATCAGTTTTACAAACAACACTACTACTACTACTGCTACTACTGCTACTACTGCTACTACTGCTACTACTAGCTTCACCATCACAAATCATATAACATTCACCCAAAGAACAACACTTTACAAAAACATCAATACGATGAATATCACAAGAAAGTGTCAGTCCAACCATAACCTCCAAATCCTTTTCACTTTGTAGACCGCAGCAAGAATGTCCAGGCATTGAATGCGATATATTCAAGAACTACCAACTAGCTCACTCCACTTTGCACACAATTTATATACTAAATCCTTGAAATTAAATCTATCATTATACTTGATAACCAATGTCACACATCTAAACTTGTACATAAGAAACAAACAATTCTCCATCACTATAAATCCTACAACAAACAACAATTATATTTCAGCAAACAACTTAAACACCCTAAAACAAAATCAAATACAATGATAAAATTATCAACCAACTCAAACACATCCAAAAACCAACACTGATAACTTTAACAGTTAACACCACTAAAGACCAAGAACAGTGAATAAGGCTTACACTTATTAGACATGGAACTCGATTTGAATCTTACCATTACATTATGCAACCTTTTTATCTCCTATTCCCATACTCACTGATAAATTTATCACTGTTGAAAAAGTTAATCCAATAACACCCCCAAAATACACAGTGATAAAATTATCACTGTATAAAATAACAAACTAACACCTGTGTTCAATCAACACAATTTCGTAACCAAAAAAAATAAAAATTTAAAATTCAATCAACATATACATATCTCAAAGCTTTCAATATCATGATCAAAACACAAATTCAATCACAACAGAAACAACAGAATAACAATAATATCACCACAAAATCAAAATCACCAACTCAAACTAAAAAGAACCAAAACATTGAAATTGAAATCAAAATCAAAATTACCAATCGACCTAACTCCACAACATCGCAAATCAGAAAATGTAACTATACACCAAACGCGAAATCGCAAATAGGAAGATTCACCAAGCACGCAATCACAAATCACAAATCGCAAAGATACACCAAGCGCGAAATCAGAAATCACGAAGCTCCACAATAATACAGTAGCAAATCGTGAAGTTCCACAGAAATCCAAATCACAAACACAATATTTTGATAGAAAATTCAAACAGAAACGTGCCAAAACAAGGGAAGGGTACAAGCACGCAATCACAAATCGCAAAGATACACCAAGCGCGAAATCAGAAATCACGAAGCTCCACAATAATACAGTAGCAAATCGTGAAGTTCCACAGAAATCCAAATCACAAACACAATATTTTGATAGAAAATTCAAACAGAAACGTGCCAAAACAAGGGAAGGGTAAAATGGTACAAAAAAAAAGGGCTCAGGACTTGTTGGTGCACAAGAGCAAAACTCAGGACTAAGAGGGGAATACGTGTAAAAGGTAGGACCGGCCAATAAAAAACCCAAAACAAATTGATATGATAATCTTCCTGTATTTTTTTTAGTATAAAGTTTTTTTCAAAAAAAAACACACATATATAGTTTTATAAAGGAAAAATAATATATATATATATATATATATATTACAATCCACAGAAAGAAGATAAAAAAAAAAAGAAAAAAAAAGAAAAACGGTACTCAGAACAATAAGGGACAATTCATTCACTAAGCGAATCTCTTAACTTTCAATTGTAATGATTTGAATCTCAATAAGAGCCAATTTCAATCTCTTAGTTCGTAATGATTAAATCCTCTAAAACAAATCACGTTTTGCATTGGAATTGAAATCAATTTGTTGAGGTATTATGCTGTCTCTTGGCAATGTTTGAAATATATTTCATTCACATTTTACTTATCTTTATTTAAATTCATAATCCAAATACAAATTAAAATTTACTTGAAATATTGTTCCATGCTTATCAATAAATGCTCATACAATTCCACAATTAGGGAATAATTTATAGATTAGCGAAAGAATAATGCTATATATACGGGCCTCGTTTGGGAGCAGACCAATTTAGTAACTTTTTGATTATTTGGCTAAAACATGAGCTAAAAAAATAGTATATTTGGAATGATTTTTTGACTTTTTACGAAAAGATGTGACAAAAGTAGAGAGAAAAGAGAATCTTTAACTTTTTTATATAGATTATTGATTTTTTGATTTTTTTAGTGACTTTTTGACTTTTTGGCTAAAAAAGTCACTTGCCAAAATATATTAATTAGTATACTAACCAATAATGTGACTTAATTTTAGAAATTTTAGGTATTTGTAATTTGTATAATAAGTGCAATCTATAATAATGACATTACACTAGTTGGTACATTAGTGTGTATATTAAGAATTTGGGGATGCTGTTGCGCGGGATACGCAGCAGCATCTGCTGTGCGGCAAAATGGGTCCATTTCAGGACCCATTTTGATAATCTGAACTGTTCACACTTTAGAATACATCAAATAGAACATACCTGCAAAAAATCAAGTTAATCGGATATCGTTTATCTATTCATCCACTCACATTTGTATTCATTTTAATACTTTAAATCACAATTATTATTTATTTTTGTAGATAGAAATGTGAGTGAATGAATGGGTAAAGGATATCCAATTAATTTGATTTTTTACAAGTATGTTCTACTTAATGTATTCTAAAATGTGAACGGTTCGGATTATCAAAATGGGCCCCTAAATGGGCCTATTTCGCCACATAACAAATGCTGTTGCGCACCCCGCGCAGTAGCATCTCCAATCCTGTACATTAATTGGTGTATGTAACACCACCGTTAAGAAAAAATCTCTATACCCTAAAACTAAACTCATAAACTTTATACTCACGTTTTTTTTATTTTTTTTTGGATCAAAGAATTACAAGCAAAGCAGAAACAAAAAAACAAAAGGCTAAGACAGTCTAAGAAACAACTCAAGAGCAGGTGGTGGATTTGCAACCCAGTTAGGAGGTAGACAGCCAAGGAGGGAAGCTTGGGCCTCCCAGTGAGAAGCTTTGTTAGCAGATCTTGGCCTTCACCTGAACGAGAAGATTGTTGGAGCTGCTAGCCTCTTGACGTCTTTGAAAATTGCTCCACACTCCCATGGCAGGACAGATTCAAAGACACAAGTTTTTTTTTTTTGTTACAAGAAAATCCTCCCTACCCTCCCGCAGGTCCAAGGCAGCGCGCCTTGCAGAGATCACCAGAGTGTCCTGTTATCCGTTCCAGTGTCCTGTTACCCGTTCCAAGCGAGGAGACTATAACCTGAGAACTTGTCCCGACCTCCCAAGACAAGCTCTGCTTAAGTCAAGACTCACAAAGCAGGGGAACATTGAACCCACACCAAGTGCTGATTAGACAACTTGAGGTCCAACCTCTTAACCAACAATGCTTCGCCTAAGAGATTTTCTCAAGAGAGAGAGGAATTGAACATGTGACCTTGGGGCTTAAACCCCAAGCTTTAACCACAATGCCACCCACCCTTGGGTTAGAGACACACAAGTTAATCAGTCTTGTTGTCCCCTTCAATCTCGACTGAGTTGAGGTTACAAGCAAGTGCAAATTGACATGCACTACTGCATGCAAAAGCTTCACCCTGCAACAAAGAAGAGACCTTCCAGCTCCTGCTGAGGCCAATCAACTTACCCCTTTCATCCCTCACTATATGAATGAATCTCAACCTTCCATTTTATATTCTGGATAAATTTCTGGCATTTTTTCCCAGAATTCATGACTTCATTTCTTTGTTGTTAAAAAGTTGCCCTGTGCTTTATAGGCACAAAACTAGGATGTTTTTTTTTTTTAGATGTTTCTCAAAACTAGGATGTTGCATTCTAACCAAAGTGCCAATGCCTCAACTTTCGTGATTTTTCTAGGATAATAACATGTTGGAAAGTTTTGATTTCCACTTTAATCAATTACTAATGCCACACTAATCAATTATCAAGAAATAGACTTTAATCATACAAGCTTAGCAGTGAGAACATACAAATGAGACTATTTGCATCAATTTACTCGAAAAATTACCATCAATTGGAATTTAATTTTTCCACGTTAGGTGGATAATGAATTAGTGGAGAGTCAAAGGACTACAAAAACAAACCAAGCTATAAACCAAGATAAGATACTCTAATTGGACTTGTGTTCAACTCATTAAAAACTCATTTAAGATTGAAAGAAACTAAGCTTTGAAACATGTTTTGAAACTAATTAGGTTTTCAATCCATCCATGTCGTTCACATTTGACTCTCATTGGTTTTACATTGAATATCTAACAAACAGATAAACCTAGACATGGTCCAACACCTAATATGATAAAGAGAGTTGCATAATGATGAGGCAAATAAAACCGTACCATCACTCTCTGTTTGGTCATGTCAATAAAATATTGCAAGTCAGACACAATGGAGAGAGAAGAACAAACAAGAATACAAACATTTATGAGAAAGGAAGCTTCATAGGAAGCTAAAACATTGGACAAAATAACCAAATTATCCCCTACGCTTACGTCTGGCCCAGCAGGCAACATCCACAACCCCACCTCCAACACACTTTCCTGGAAACTGTTAGAGAGAGAGAATAAAATCTCACAACACATCACAGGTATATATAAAAATTGTGGCAAGAACATAGTAGTAGACATTAGGTAATGTGTTATATACCACATTCAATCCACAAACCAGCTAACAGAATGGAAACTAAGGCTACAGCATGCGAGTACGAAGATTTGTTACCAGTGATGGCAGAGAAGCTAGATGGAGACACCTTTGTGTCAGAACTCTGCAGAGGCTTTCGGCTCCTAGCAGACTGTGCAACCTGTTTGATTACACCAGAGAGTCTGAGGAAGAACTCGGCGCTCCTGGGCATGGAGGGGATGAGCAAAGAAGATTCAGAAGAGATGGTGAGAGAAGGAGACCTAGACAGAGACGGAGCACTCAATGAGAGAGAATTCTGCATCTTGATGGTGAGGCTCAGCCCCGGGATGATGCAAGATGCAGAAACATGGCTCGAGAAAGCATTTGATCGAGAGTTGGGACAATCCTCTGCTTAAGTTCCAATGGTAAAGACAATGGATTATGTAATCCTATATATTTGTTCACAACTACATGTATACTCAAGGACTGATCTAAATGATGAAACTCATGCATGCCTATTGCCTAAGGGATTTTACAGAACATTTTGATTTGTGCATTCATGAAATTTTCTGTCAAAACTCAATATTTTAACTCCACAATAATATCAAAAATGAAAATAATAATAATAATAATAAAAAGCACCCTGATTCAACCCAACATGCAACCCAGTAAATGACTAGTCAACACTATTCAAGAATAGCTGGTGCAGCACAAATGTTCTGGAAGAGCAAGATAGAATAGAATCACATAACTGAGTTTAATGCAGTAAAAAATTTTAATGAAATGGCTTAATTCAATTGAGGGCGAGAAGGTAAACCTACTTGTGGGAAGGTAAAAATGGGTTAATTCAATTGATTGATCAACACACACAAACAAAAATTCTGTCGATTTCGACATAAAACATGTATAACCCGCAAAGATTAGCAATAGAAGACCATAAAAATGACAGCTAGTAGGCAACCACGCTAAAAAAAATTCCCAACAGATTTCATCACATAAGTATATGTACCTAATGCAATGAAAAAAGCAGCTTCTTTATTTTTTTTTTTCCAAAAATCATGCACTGCCCTTTTTTCACAAGTAGAAAGATAATACACTGTCTTGTACCAAATGATAAAAGCAAAGAAAATATTCACAATGTACGACAACAACATAGATCAAAAGGAAATTTTAAAGCAAGCAATATAGAGGCAATTTTAACATGTACAAACTTGCAAAGAACTTCAAAACAGTCTTGTTATATTTAAACAGCGGATAGATGCTCATGCCAGTTCATCCAATATAAACATTTCCAACGTCTACTACGGTATCTACTATTACTAATGACAATGGCAGATCCACATCCACCAAATCCATGAACTTCAAATACAAAACATCACACTAAACAAACACTCTAACTAGCTACTAGCCTACATGATATACCTAAAGCTGTTGCAAACAACCACAAACTAACATGACAAGTGAGCACCATCATTCCTTCAACCAGTTGATCTCTCATGTTCTTGACCTTCGCACAGGTGAGCGGCTGCAAGGAAAATATTAAGAGAAAAAAAAATGTCAACAAACATCGAGCCTACGAAACATAAAAAATGAAAGCAAACTTGCAAGTACATACAAACACAAAAGACAATTTCAGAAGCACACTAATACCACTTCCAGAAAATAAAAACAATCAACAAAAATAAACTGCAGAATGCAGACGGTAAACGCCTACCTCCGATATCTGCCATATTCAGGGCTTCTGTTTCTTTCATATGATGGACCATTGTACCTGTCATACATTGGACTGCGAACCCCCCCGTAGTTGGGGCTTGGTCGACCCCTGCGATGCACTGGACTTGGTGAGCGCCTATAAGGACTATCTCCCCGCCTACCATAACCACCTCCCCCCCTGGGGCTATCATATCTGTCTTCCCTCTCACTATCATCCCTTAGAGCATATTCAACAGAAACCACTCTGTCCAATATCTTGCTGCAAAAATGGACACCCATCACATATAAGCAGGTCAAATTTTGCTGATAAAAAGAAAAAAAGGTCAAATTTTCACAACAGAGGTATCAAGACAATTATCCAAGCAACACAATAAACAAATACATCACTTTACCTCATGTGTGTACACTCAAGAGCTTTTGTAGCGTCCTCCTGTGTTTCAAACTGCACAAATGCAAAGTTCCTTCGAATTCGGACATGGAGAACCTTTCCATAAGGTTCGAAGTGTCTCTCTATATCATGGACCCTTGTGTGGATTGGATCGAAGTTTATAACAAACAAGGTTTTGGTGGGTCTCTGGTTTGCCATCGACTTAGAGCCATCACGATGACGACCACGTTCACCCTACAAGGAAGTAAGCACTCTAATCAAAATAGAACAAAATGATGATTGAGCTTTCACTAGACATAAGGGTATGGAACTGATCAGTTAAAAAAATACGAGGAAAACAATAGAAACAAGGAGGTGCAAAAAAAGGTAGATAAATTAGTGGGGAACCAACGAACCCTAGCCCACTCCACTGACAGCTTGCGCCTGTCATATCCAAATGGTGCATTGTCAAGGCCACGAATGGCATCCTCAGCATCACGCTCATCTTCAAAATAAACAAAAGCAAACCCTGCAATAACAAAACCAAAATCAGTGGCAGAAGTATATTACACGAGTCTCATCCGAGACCACCCAGCAGGCAGTAACATCATCCAAATCAGGATCTCTTTCCCAGGCAATAATAAATAAATACAACACCTGCAAATATGTGAAGAACTGAAAATACGAGAAGAGCTGATGAACTTAAGGATGTAGAGGCCTTGTATGATGAACTAAATCATGATCATGGTAGCATATTAAACGTTTAAATCCAAAGTTTCAGTTCTGAGTTGTCATTGCTAAGCATGCTTCACCATTCAAACAGAACGAATTCAGTAATGGAAGGCATGGCATGATAGAATTCATTGATCTCCTTAAGATTAGTGGTAGCAGGCATAGCAAGATGATAGATCTGACCACAAGCATTCTTGTGAAATGGAAGCTTTAGGCAGTGAGGTAAGTGAGTGACAGATGGAGTGACAGATGATCGAGTGAATGAAATGTAGAACGAGCCCATCTGTGACTAGTAGTAGGAGTGCAAGCAGGCAGGTGGGTTTCCTTTGCATTAGAAGTTTATAGCAGAGAAGTTGGTAAGCCAAGATAGAAGCTCATTATCCCTTAGTAGATGTTCCTGCGTCAAAACAAACACTTAAATACATAGCCCTCCAATGAAATTTCAACTTCCATTTTAATTTCTGCCCAGGATACATATAATGGATATACATGCTACACAAGTAGCCATATACCCATATCCAATGATCCATGGTGTGACAAATATTCAACGTGAAAGCTACCTTGTGCCTATTAATTGAAGGAACAACACCACCTAAGCATGAACCCTTAAATTTAGTATAGTAACACCAATTTTTGTCTTAATTTAATTATCTAGATATGGAAGGAAGAAGATGTTTAGAAAATTAGGTAGTTGGTCAAAATGGACGGAGACCTCAACAAACAAATTATAATCCAACAGACCTGATGCCACTACTACAAACTCAAGCAAATATTGGAAAGACAAAAAGTAGAAACATCATGAATTTGGACAAAGAAACAAAAATCCCAAACCTTGATAACTGACTGACAGCAGCACATAATCAAGGTCACATCACATAATCAAGGTCACATCACAACCAAAGTCCCTTAACTACAAGTCTACAATATAATTGTAAGATAAAATAAAATAATCCAAGTCCATCTAGTTTTTATGGCAATGTGTGCACTCATTTGGTTAAACGGGATAAAATTTTGCCAGAGAATTCAACGGAAAAGTACAAAACAAATTAAGGTTGAGAACAAAAGTCATAAACAATCAAATCATGGAAACATGTAATATAATATACCAGATTTCATGTCGACACGATCCACCCTCCCGAACTTGGAGAACGCTCGCTCCAAGTCTGATTGGCGAGTCTCGTACTCGAAATTACCACAGAATACTGGCTTCATCTTCACAACTTTGCCCCCCCAAAATACCTTCAGAAACCCCAAAAATGCATCACCCAAATGATTTCAGTTCAATAGAAATGAAATGGGTACGCTTTTCTAAAGTATTGCATAGAAAAACTTTATTACCAAACTATGGTAAAACCCAGAATTATTAATCACAAATCACACTTTCTACTCAACACTACACACTACCTGAGACTATTTTCCCCAAATGTTCACACTCAAACCCTAAGTGTTTACATTCAAGTAAAATCGAGCATTACTCTTTGTTTAATTTTGAGCTTAAAAAAAAGGTAAAAAAGTAAAAAAGTAGAAGGGTTAAAAAGCCCCCAAATGAAATTGTGTTTGGGTCCTGAGAAAACAGAATACATCGACACCAAAAAAAGCGAAACCAACAAGAATCGATCAACTGTTTAAGTGATCAGTTTTTCGGAACCCAACCAGAAGAAATCAAAGCTTTCAAAAATTTGATTTCCTTTTTAAGTCTACCAGATCAAAACCCTAGTTATATATACACACACATAATTGTGTGTGTGCGTGTGTGTGTGTGTGTGTGTGTGAGAGAGAGGTTTGAAGACGTACCTCTGCGCTGCGATTCGATGCAGAAAAACCCTAGACAGAAACGAGATAAAGTTGGGGGTGGTTTGAAATTTAAAGAGCCAAATAAAGCCCTAATGGTTTACACGTGGCACGTTGTTCACCGTCAGATGATCAATACTTGGAGAATTTTTTATGCGTATATTCAACGGTGTTGGGCGGTTCACATTACGGGTCGGATCGGATCGGGTTGAATTGGGCAAGCCCAAACTCCTAACCCACCCCAATTCTTCCCATCCTCAAAATAGCCCATTAATATTTTGCGGGTTTCAAATTAGCAGTTGAAATAGATTGTGTGAATTTTTTATTTTTTATTTTTTTAGATGGAAAAAGTGTAACAACCCTCGTACTGTTTACTGATTTATGACCGATTGATTACCGTTAATCACCGATTACTGTTAAACGAAGCTGATAATGACTGATAACTAACTGATAATCGAACTGAATGAAATACTGAACCGACTGACTGAAGTTGAAACTGAATTGACTGAGTTTTTTTAGATGGAAAAAGCCATGAGGATACAACTTTATGGGTGATTTGGGATGCTCTAAATAAGTGTACTTTTTAACTTTTTATGAAATATAAATTAAGTTTAAAGTGATGTGGTAGAAAGGTGATGTGACTTAAATATAATGATGTGACTTAAATAAAATAGTGACTTTTTGACTTTTTGACTTTTTAAATTTTTTAAGAGATGACAAACTAAGCTTTAATATACAACTTTAGTGGAGGTTTTTTTTTAATATTCTAAAAAAAAAACTATTTAGAGAATTGACCCACTTTTCAAACTATTTGGGAAACTAACCTACTTTTTAAAATCGCATTTTCAAATTGAAATTGCATTTTCAACATACAATTTCACCTTGAAATCGCAGGTTGAAAATGCAATTTATTATGACATGGTGAAATTATATGTTCAAAATGCGATTTCAAAAGTAAGTTAGTTTTTCAAATAATTTAAAAAGCGGGTCAATTCTCTAAATGATTTTTTTTTTAGAATATTAAAAATAAAAACTCAACTTTAGTGAGGATACAACTTTAAATTTTGAAAAATGTTTAAAATAGTCATTTAGATTGTTAATAATCTTGACAAATGTGTAAAAAGTATGTACAAAATGTGTAATAAATATATAAAAATTATATTTAAATGCTAATTTTTTTGACATTTTCTTATTCCTATTGACATTTCAATGGATTGTTATTAATATGATCCTTGATTTTCTTCACAGTTCTAATCAAATTTTACTATTTATTTCCAATTTCAATACAAAATTTGCAAGTTAATAAAATACACGATGCTAATCAAGTTAATAGAGTTTTTTTTTTTTTTAATATTCTAAAAAAAAACTATTTAAAGAATTGACTCACTTTTCAAATTATTTAAGAACTAATCTGTTTTTGAAATCGCATTTTGAAAATACATTATACTTTTCAAATTATACTTTTCAAATTACATTTTCAACATGTAATTTCATCATGTCATCATAAATTACATTTTTAACCTGCGATTTCAAGGTGAAATTGCATGTAGAAAATGTAATTTCAATTTCCAAATCACATTTTCAAAATGCGATTTCAAAAAGTAGGTTAATTTCTCAAATAATTTCAAAAATGCATCAATTCTCTAAATATATATATATTTTTTTATAGAATATTTTTTAAAAAAAACTCCAAGTTAATACACAAAACAATGAAAGTAGGCAAAGGAATATATGTAGTAAAAATAAGGGATAATTATTCAATAATTTCGAAATATATACATGTGATAATCTATAATATTATATTTGGTGGAGAAAGTGGGTTAGTAGGATATTATGTTGGATGATTGAGAAACAAGGCATAATAAATAATAATTAGTTAGGAAATATAGACACGTGGTACTCTGACAATAATCTGAGTTTTTTTTTTTAATATTCTAAAAAAAAATAGAGAATTAACCCATTTTCCATACTATTTGGGAAACTAACCTAGTTTTTGAAATTGCATTTTCAACATGCAATTTCACATTGAAATCGCATGTTAAAAATGCAATTTTAAAAAATGAAGTTCATAAATTACATTTTCAACATGCGATTTCAGGTAAAACTGTACGTTGAAAATGCAATTTCAATTTTAAAATCGCATTTTTAAAATGTGATTTCAAAAACTAAGTTTGTTTATCAAATAATTTGAAAAGTGGGTCAATTCTTCAAATTGTTTTTTTTAAATATCTTAAAAAAAAAAAAAAAAAACTCACAATAGTCTATACTTTTCTTAAAATGAGGGATGGATATCATCTTATTAATGGTATTAGAATTAGGTTATGTGTGGACAAGTGCAAGGCAATTTGAGAAGTTGAGTCGATTTGTAAGCTTATTGATATATTTTAAATTATATGTCTAATTATCTAAATTACTGAATCAATCCATTCACATTTTCAAGCAGCACTCTCTCTCTCTTTCTCTCTCTCAATGAAATTGAGCAATAGAGTATATTTTGAGGACAAAAGTTGGGATCAACCTCAAGTGAATTTTTTTTTGTGGGTATATAAAAAGAGAAATTCTACTTATACAATATATTTATTTTTTTACACTTTATTTGAGATTTTTTTTTTTCTTCAAGTTTGTCCATATGTGAAATTACCTTTAAGGATAAAAGAGAAAAATTAAATAAATTTGATTATCTCTTTACACTAATTACAATTCAATTCCCACTTATTTTTTTACTTTCTCATTTCTTCTTTTGTACTATACATCTACTTTTAAAAAGTAGAATCATAATATTTCAATCATAAAAGAAAGTAATGGATGAAGAAGTGGTGGTGAATGACCAATAAAAATAGTGAGTTTTTTTTTTTTCTTTTTTACGTTTTCGTTTCATTTTTGAAGAGAGTTGTTCGGTTTTTATTCGGAGTATCAGAACTGAACAAAATCAAATAGCCTAGAATCACACTGTCAAACAAAAAATACATATTCAGTAACTCACTACCAAACAAAAAATGCTTGTTCAATAACCTACTGCCAAACAAAATGTACATGTCTGGTAACTCACTGCAGAACATTTCCAGTTTTATTTTTCTAACATTTTTGTTTTTTATTTTGAAGCATTATGTTTATACTCATTGCAATAAGAATAGTAGTTGTGGGGACATATTTTGTGAATGACAGCACGTGACCAAGGTGACGCCGTAGTGTCAGCCAAGATGCCACGTGGCCTGGTCATGTGCCGAGATGATCTTGGTCAAGCTGAGGTTATCTGCAGAGATACTAGAATCCGAGATGAGCGGATAAGGGACAATAGCCCTAGAACAGGGGAGGATCTCAGTTTGGATAAAGATAAAGCTCTCAGGGAGTTTATCCCTATCTAGCTGAGAGTCCAGGATAAGCATTGAGCCTAAGTCCACTGAAGTGAGGCTTCTACAAGGATCAGGTCAATGTTGGATATAAAAGCAGGGCGCCCCGTGAGTTTCAGGTATGTGTGATATACTGTGAGTAATAAGTTATTTCTTGTGAGTTAAGCACAATTTATTATCTTTAAGAGATATATGATTACTGACTTGAGTGTCGGAGTGCCCCCGGGTGGACGAACCACCACCGGATTCTTATCTTTCTGTAACAGGTTGTTCGGGCTTAATCTAATCTGTCGGTGCTCTCCAACTGAGTTCTACGTTTGGTTGTGTGGTCAAAAATCAACACCTACAATTTGGCACCGTCTGTGGGAACTTAAGGAGAATAGATAGCCAACGATGGGCAAAAAGAAAAATATTGGAGATGACATCCACATTGAGAGTGGTGAACATACAGACCCTAATGCAAGAGCAAAAAACCGTAATGAAGGAGCATAGGATTCGAATCTTGTGCAGATGGACGTCGATAAGGAGGGTAACACCCCGAAGAAAACATGCCGAGATGAGTATTATAACGAGAATGACCTCCAGGTATGAAAGGATAGATACCTGAAGAGAGACGGGAATAGCCAACAAGTTGGCAGATTTACAATCGGTTGTCAACTTTATGATGCAGAACAATGTCATGCAACTGTTGTTTCTGTTGCAGGACACGCCGATGCCAGGGGCCAAGATTGAGGCCTAGAAAGGGAGGTAGAAAACAATCCCAGCAGTCCCGTAGCATGGCAAGGAAAAGGAGCCCTCACTTCGGCCTTTACGGGACGTTGGACGAGGAGAGTCGATTAGAGGCGACTCGCAGAGGACGCCTCGTACCAGGGGAACTTATGTCAAAAACCCCAGCATATCCAGGGAAAGGGATTGTGTTTTGATACGGTGAATGAAGAGAAATCTAAGAGGACACATAACGACACCGGGAGCAGTGCACCAAAAAGACTAAAATCCGTTAACAGCCGAGCTCCTGGTCGGACTAAGAAGGATTTGAGGGACTACCTCCAGAAGAAGTGACAGAATGCCAAGGTCACATCCTCCGTCAAGCCAAAAATGTCGTTCTCAGTGGAGTTGGATAGGTTTGAGGCCCCAAAAAGGTTCCATATACCGAGGTTCCAGATTTATGACGGTAAGTCCGACCCGAACTTTCACGTAGGCTTATATCTGAATTTAATGGCTTTGTCTATTGGGAATGAACAGTTGCTGTGCAAGGTGTTCCCCTCATCCTTTGGGGAAATCGCATTGAATTGGTTTCACAAGTTGCCAAAAGGAACTGTGAAGAGTTATGAAGGCCTGACCGAGATGTTTGTGGCCAGGTTTGTGACAAACAAGTTGCAGCCACTAATGATAGACACCCTGATGACTCTGAAAATTAGCGAGGGTGAAAACCTCAGGGTTTATGCCAAAAGGTATTATAAGGTGTTCAATCGAATATCGGGATGCAACCAGAAGCTGGCGGTCATGTCTTTTAAGAACTGCCTAGAGGATCGGAAGTCGTTGGCAAAAACTCTACCAAAAAGTATGGAGGGGCTCATGGCACGAATCAAGAAATATGCCAGAGCAGAAGAGAATACGCCGAGAACGAAGGCACCGAAACAGGAAAAGAGAAACGACTCGCCGAAGCGAGGCCAAGGTAATACTGGTTTTAACAGGTAAAAAACAGGGTTGAGGGCTGCATAGGTAGTCACTACTGTGTTCCGGATTCCGGTTTATAAAGTGCTAAAAAGAATCAGGA